TTCAACTTTTTTTTTTAACCGGAAAGAAAGCGTTTGGGAATTAATTCTTCAGTAAAAATGGTCTAGCTGAATAGCTGTTTTGATTATCCAGTAAAGCAAAACTACATTTGAGGAAGATCAACAACAACATTAGTGGTTAATAATGCTGGGTCACACTTCAAAGTCTGTACTGAGTTTCTGACAGATTGAAAATGCCGAAGGTCATGTTTTGGTTGTTTCTTACATAATGAAAAGTAGTGGGGGGGGAGAGGGAAAGAATTTTAATCCCACTGTTTCAGAGACTGTAAATTGCATCTTGCACAAGCAAGTCTCATGTCAGGCAGTTTTCCCAAACCAGAGTGCTGTGCCAGTTCCTACAGCCAGGTCTCATAAAACAGACCTGTCAGCAGGCAGGTTCAAAGCTGTCTTTTGCCAAAGTTTGGAGCTATGCTTCTGACACAACAGCATCGTCTTTTCTCTGGCATACCTCGGACTGGAAAACTTGGAGAGCAGGGAGATGCATAGAAGGGCAGAAATCGAAATGTACAAAAACAGGATCTTAAACTTCTTTTCTACTGCTAGTGTGGTCATTTCAGCATCCCTGGGCACGAGCATTACTGACAGGCTTGAGTGACAGAGGGGGTGTTCAGAGCTACAGAAGCTGGCAGTGAAGCTGGTTTCCTCATGGTATCGGTCAGGCCAGGGGATGGCTGGGAGCTCTGTAATTGGTAGGCTCTCAAACTTGGTAAATTTGGTCACCTTTTTAGAAACTCCAAACCAATATTTGTGGGTCCTGTGAAAATCAAATGGGAAAAATACCAGCTGGGCTGCAGATTGAAACCTTTGCCTTTTAGATCGATTTCTTTTGGAGTCTTCTTACAGCTTTGTCACCTTCTCTCTGTAGGAAAGCCCTGAAAAATGTAGGCGCTTCGGGTATTTCTGAACCCGGCCCTTGCTCAGTTATATTAAGCTAGTAATTTGTAGAGTTGAAATCCCCTTGGTCAGAGCTCTGTGTTCTGAATTGCTTCCATTGGTAAACAGCTGGCAGCTTCTGGTTTGAACAGACGTGGTTTTGCCTGCGAGGTGGGTTAGTTTCTCAGAGGGCTGAGAGACAAATTAGCAAAAGGCTTCATAGAAGACAGCCAGCATTTGCAGCCTGGCTCAGAAATTGAGAGACAGCAACTGAAGATCACAGAGCACAGGTGGAGTGTGCTGTCTTAATGAAAGATGGTTTAGTAAATAGGCAGCTGCTTCTGTGTTCCTAGCTCAAAAGATGTAGCAGCCAACACTGCTCTCCTGGACAATCTCTTCCTTAAAAAGTTGTGCACAAATACATACTGCTTACTGAACAGGGCACTAGAAAGAAGGGAACTCTTACTGTGCCATCTCAGTTCTGCAGGGCTAACAGAAGTACCAAACCCCAACCTTTAAATTATAGAGAGAACTTCTGAAATTAGTAGTGTATTGAAAAAGGTCTGGCTCTCCGAGTAAATGTTCTGAGGTTTAAACTAGCTGATCCCAGAGACGTGAAATTTGGGGTCATGTGAAAAAACAGTTTGTCCTACTTGTAGATAAGATGGAGTCACATTTATTGGGCTGCCTTAAATCTGTAATCTTTCCTAAACACTGACTTCCTTCCTTCAATGCTTTTTTTTTTTTCCCCCCTCCCTTTGCCCTGCTTTTTTCTGTCAATGTTCTCAGGGTCAACAAGGGTTTACAGCCAGTAACTGGGTTCAGCTGCCGTTATGAAATGTAATGTCCTCTGATGATGCACAGCATTCTTCCTTTCTGGTATTTGGTCCCCAAGCAATGTGGTTTTGGTGCTTTTATGGAGCAAAAACGTGATGGAGGGCTGCAAAGTGCAGCTAATTCCTGTCCCTTTCTTTAGAAAGAATACCTTTCAAAGGAGTGGCATGGTACCTGGCTGCATTACCTTTTGGCAGCTTGGATGGGCTTTTTCATACTCGATAATTAAGCAAAGTACTTCAGATGAACAGAATTTCTAGATGCATGTTTTGTTTTGCACAGTAGTTAAAGTTGGCTGGTATTCTGTGATGGCATTTCAAAACAAAAACGTGTGATATTTCCAAAGAAAGGGACGGGATGGAATACTATCTTGAGGGGTTTTTTTTTTTCCCTCTTGATGTTATTTCTAAATATTCATATTGGTATTTAAAAGCTCTGTTTCTTCTCTATGTAGTACTGCATATGTTTATCGTTTTGTCAAGAGGAAATGTGGAGTGGCCCATTGAATTGTCTGTGCAGAAGCTGTACCGGCTCTCTGCTGTAACGGGGCAGGGATTGGCCTTCCTGTTTCGTGACCTATTCCCAGTCAAGAGTCAGACTAATCTCCACATTACATTTTCAAGGACCATTTTCCTGTTTGCTTTTAAGCATCCTGACTGGTGGAGCTTTCAGCCCTTCCTGTAAACCTCCGTTAGCAGCTTGGTAGAGTCCCTGTTCAGAAGCCTCTTCTGGCAGCTTAAATTGTGTTGTTCTGAATTCATCCCATTGCACCTGCCTCCCCTGCGCTTGAGGGAGAGGGACTAAGTAACTTGATTTTCCCCATTAAAATAATTTGGGAAAGCTAAATTGTACACTGCTGTCCTCAGAAGCCATGCAGATTCTTGAACTTCAAAATCTCTCTCTCTGCTGTCAGTACTTCTCTGATGGCAAGGTGCCTGCTTATCCCACAGCATCCAAGGCAGTGTGTCTCCTTGGGGGGAGAGGAGGGGATGGAGATTAACCCTTCCCTCCCCAGCTGTTTACATAACCTTGAATTCCCAACCTAACCAAAACTAAACTTAAGGTTTTGTTCTGCTTTCTATGAAAGACTGTATAATTTAAAGCTGATGTAATGGTTTGAAACTGTCTCTTAGCAAAAGTATGGCATTGTTTCCATTAGTTTCTAACAAATACTCAAAATGGCACTTTATTGATTGAAGGGCAATTCAAGGTTAAGTTGTTGGCTGCTGTCTGTACAATGTATTAAATTTAGGCCTTCCTGCCTTATAGTCACAATGAGAATAGAGGCTGCAAAGCAAGCCTGTTTTATATTGCTCTGCTGCTCAGTTTCTGCTTCAGCTAAGCTTCAGATCAAAATTCCTCTGTAAAAATAACAAGTAAATAGTGGGCTTCTGAGGGAGGGGCGTAGCTTTGCCAAGAAGGGAGATGACACAATTTTCCAAATTTTTAAGCACTAAGACCCACTGAAATGCTAGTGCTAAGCATGTTTGTGGATCAACCTGAAAGTAGCTTGGATTTTTGTCCCCAAGTTGCTCGTGCTAAAACCACAGCTATGCAGCTGGATTGCAAGATATGTACAAACATGGGTAGTAGTCTGTGATTTATATTCTGAGTCTGTATCTTTTCTCATCTTGTAGATGCACATGACAGTAACTTACCTGTCAATATGCTGACAGTCTTTTCCATCTGTTGTCTTATTTTTTTGCACAGGAAAGAAGAATGGAGATTTGGACAGGAATTTTGATACACTTGATTTGCCTAAGCGGTCTGAAGCAGCAAAAGGTAATGCTAATGTTTGTGCTTTTAGAAATAACAAGTAGCCTGGGAGCTGGAGGCTCTTAAAGGAACTTGAGGCGTGAGCATATAGTAGAAAGTAAAAGAAATAATAGATATGTCAGTGCTGCTTGTTACCTAATATTCAATACTGGATATAACCAGCTTTTATATAAAGCTGTTAAATGGGTAGAATCTTGTAGAAGCCCATCTGATTTGGTGTTAGGTGATTGTAACTCTAGAGAGGGGTGAGTGCATGTTCTCTTCCTTTACAACTCTATTTTGCAAATTGCCTGCACGAGACGTGAATGTAAGGAGTTACGAAATGCGTTAGTTGAGTGTACTTATCACTAACCTTTTCCCTTCCCTGGAATCTCTGTATTTCTTCAGTGTTCCGATGAATCAGAGAGTAAGGGCAGGGGATGAGTTCAATTTTTTGTCTTTACTGATAGTCAGTCTTCTCCTGAATACAGTATTCCTCTCTGTCTGTAGTGAGTAGTACTTGTAGTTTTCCAAAATAGGGAGGTTCACAGAAAAATTCTTCTGCATTGCGCTTTTGTATTTCGGCTCTGGCAGAGGTGAAATCTTTCACAAACAATCTGCGTTCCCTTCCAGCATGCATGGTGCTCTCTTTAATTGGAGATTAGGAGATGATTTGGGATCTCGTCAGACTTCTACAGCATTGGACGGTGTTTTGAGACTTGCACAGGTTTTCATTTGAGTGTGTGCAATGTCATTGCAGAGATTCAGCCATTGTCATGGCAACTGCTGCAGTGCCACCCTGTCAACCCAGCCTTGCAGGAAAAGCTCTCCCATAGCACCCTCATCTTAATGATCTGTGAATACCCAGAACTACCTGAGTATTCTTCAGAAGGAAAATCTTAAACTCTTCCTGCATCACTTGTACAATTTCAGAGAGTATAAAGAGACAGTGTGGCTCAAAGGAGAGATCCTTGGACTCTGAGATACCTGAATTATGCTAATTTAGTGACCTTGATCGAATCAACTAATTTGTGCTTCAGTTTCCTTACTGTAAACTGAGGGCAGCAACAGAGGCTGTATCTAACATCCGTAGAGGTGAACTGATAGTCAGTAATGGTATAGTAATTACACATGTAAAGTGCCGCACTCTCACTTAAATTTGTGTGCAGTGAAGCTCTGATTGGTGGTATGCAAACCAATCCTAATATATAGATGGATGTAATCTATTTACAGACACCCTTTACAATGCGTACAGTTTCTAGGCTAATGTCTAAACACGAATTTTCATTTGGTGCATTATTGCACAAGATACTAATGCACCTCTTAGAAGGTGCAGTGCCATCCTGTTCGGAGAGCTGCAGGAAACCTCTCCTAACCAACCTTCACGTTAATGCCATCAGTTCAGGGCTGGGCGTTGGTTACATTGCAGAGCAAGGAGACTTCTTGAGGATGCAGACAAAGAAAGGAACTCGAAATATAGCAAGGGCTTTAGCACTTTCATTCCTTTCCAAATGTGATTGGAATGTAAGTGCCACTAAAGGGAAAAGATGGAAATCGGGGATTTCTGCAAAGAACTGGATCTTGCATAAATTTCTTCAAAATAAGAAAAAAATCTTTCATGTGGCTCTGCTAATGGTAGAAGTGTTGTGGCATATCTGATGGGAGACGTATCTGTCTCTCTGAGCTTACGCAGCTCGTTATCATATTCAATTGCTAGAAGTCACACACTCTTGAAGAGGTTTTGTTTGATAATTTTGAGATACCCCCATTTAATCTAAGCAGAATAGATTTGACCCTGGGTTGACCCTGGCTGGACGCCAGATGCCCACCAAAGCTGCTCTATCACTCCCCCTCCTCAACTGGACAGGGGAGAGAAAATATAACGGAAGGCTCGTGGGTCGAGATAAGGACAGGGAGATCACTCATGAATTACCATCACGGGCAAAACAGAATCCACTTGGGGAAAATCAATTTAACTTATTACCAATCAAATCAGAGTAGGATAATAAGAAATAAAACCAAATCTTAAAACACCTTCCCCCCACCCTGGGACATCACCTGCTGATGGGAAGTAGAGAATAAATCTTGGTTTGCCTTGCACAGCCTTTGCTTTTGCTCTATTAAACTGCCTTTATCTTGACCCACTAGGGTTTTTTCCATCTTATTTTCTCCTCCCGTGTCCTGCTGAGGAGGGGAGTGATAGAGCGGCTTGGTGGGCACCTGGTGTTCAGCCAAGGTCAGCCCACCACATCTGACTACGTATCTCATGGTAGATCAGGTCAGGAGATTAATCCCACAGCATTTTGAAAGAAGCCCTTTGATGTGGAAAAAGGCATGACAAACTATTCATTTGTGTGCTAAGAGTAAAAAATAAATTCAGTGATACATTTTTGTTCACTTTTTTACTAGTAGTTTCCTGCTAAGCATCTAGTTTACATGAGAGTTCCTGGATATTAAAGGTTCTAACAAGATTGCTAGGACTTTGAATTGTTCGGTAAGATAAAACAAATAAAATTGCAGTTTTAAAACCCTTAAAAGCTCCGGTCAGATCTATGCCATAGAGTATAATTGGCTCTGATGAGATCAGCTCTCAGCTGAAGCAGAACCTTGTTACTAAGATTGAAAAATCATGCAAGTTTTAATGATCAAAAGCACTCAGTTTGAGTGACACAATGAAGTGCTATTTCAAAAATCAACAATTATAGATTAATCTCTTTCATGTATTATTAAAGCCATATTAAAGTGAGTTTTCAGCTGGAATCTTTGTGGGCAAATGAAACTGCCGTAGTAAGATTTGTTCGTGCAATGCAGCAAATTAACATTGTGGTAGTTAACAAATATTGGGATGCAGTGTTGTTAAGTTTCCTGTAATCTTATAGTCAACATCCATGGTGCTTATCTGGTGGATCTAAAGATGAGGTTTCATGAACTTGACATCATGATTTCCCTATAAAATGTTCTTAGGTATGATCACTGAGCTTAATTGATAGTATGCTTATGATCGCTTGAAAAACCGCGAACGAGCAGCAGTGAATTAGTTCAGACCTATTTTCTATCATTCTGGAAACTTCATTTGGTCTCCAGATTACTTTAATTGCAGGAATCTCTGCCTATCCTGTAGCCGAACATCATAAAACCAGAAACTTTCGTAGTTCCTAGTTGGGGGGTGGGGGCAGGTTAGTGTCTGTGTGGGAGGCAGACGTTTTTCTCAGTCTTTATTCAAGGCAGCTTAGGAACATGTTCATATCCTGAACAGTCCAAAGGCTCTTGTGAGTTATTACCTAGTTTAAATGCTAGTGATTTTTTTTTTCCTGGAATTTGTTTGCTCTGGAGAGGAATGAATGAATGAAGGCAATTCTTTTTTTCAAAATGATGAACTAGTCTCCTTTTCTTCTGATTGCTCTTGGTTTTTTAATGGAAATCAGATTTTGCTGCAGCATAGCATTTGAGCAGCCCTGAAACCATTTCTAAGCCTTTAATAATTTTATGTGCTAGGCATTCTGGCAGGGGAAAGCTTCCAGTTCAGGGTTGTTATCTGTAGTAAACTGGATAATATCAGACGGGAGAACTTGCAGTGCTTTCAGAAGCTGTCTCATCTGATATTAAAAAATAAATATATATGCTCTGGCAGTGTCCAGAGTAGCGCAGTCCCCATGAGGAAAGGTTGTGGAAGAGAAGCTTCTTGTTTCCTCTTTGTTGAAAGGAGAAAATTTTTTTCTGACAGTTGGAGAGAGAGAGGATAATTTTTTTGGGTAGTGATAAGAGCTTGCATAGAGCCATATGAGAAGGGGACAGCACTGACAAGAAATTAAGAATGCTGTACTTGGGACCTTGCTAAATTTAGTACTTTCAAAAATTCCTGCTTCTGTGAGGGGAGGAAAAAAAAAAGTCTTGCTGCAATCCTTTCCCCGATATAAAGTAGGTCACCGATAGTGGTGTTGGCCGTCTCCTCTGCAGCGTGTTCTCTTCTGCACTATCACAGCGCAAATGCTGATTTCTCCTGTGTGCACATTAAACACATAGCATAGTACAATTCCTTTGCTTTGTTCGCAGAGTCCTTACTTCTGAGCAGGAATAGTGACAGGAGGCTCACGCATTGGGGGGAAGATCAGGATTAATCATATCTGTGCAGAGGAAAGCAGTGTCTCAGATGGCAGACTGTGCGATAAGGTTTTCTGAAAAGAATTAGCATTGATATGTGTCAGCGCTCTGAAGATGTTATAAAGGTTGTAACATTTAATCCTCCTGATGTGAAGGTGTTGGATTGTCCGCCTCTCTTCATCAGTCCTGGAACATGGGAGGAGTAAGTCCAGAAAAGCAAAACAGCTTTTTATGTGGAATCAGCAGGTTATTCCTAATTAAATCCAGACCTCTGTGCTTATTTGGTTTAAGCAAATCTCGTGGCTTCTTGTTTATTTGCACATACATCCAATGGCATAAAAGTAGATGCTCTAAGGTGCTTTGGGTGTTGAAGTTCAGCTATGGTTTCAGTTTATCTCATTAGGGAGTTGAAAGTTTTCAGCCATAAGGAGATGTGCAGGTACATTTCAGCCTCGTGGATGAGCTAACTCATTCTCTCCTTTAAATCAGTTATTTAAAGTGGTTATTAATTTATCTTTTCCATTTTGATTATTTAAGCTTAATTCCATTTTAATGGGAACATAAATTTAGGAGAGAGTCAAGCAGAAATACTGAACTAGTGCTAAAGCTGCTTATAGTTGAACAAGGCTATTTTGTTGCAGCAGGGACCTCATAGAAAAGCTGAATTTATTTGAAAGCTCAGCTTTGTGTGTACACTTAACCCGGTCAGCAGCCTATGTAGGTAGGGAATGAGATTTTGGGTGAACGTGTCAACAGGTGAATTTCTTCTGTCTCCATTATCTGAAATCCTCAGTCGCTTTCCGTGTAGCCTGATGCTGATGATAGATTTTCTATTCCAGAAGGTGAGTGTTTAAATTCACTTATAAATCTTTGTGTTACTGCTCCAGGAAATTAGACTTCCTGGCACTGTCAGGGTAATGACTTTA